TACTAATATCTAAATTGTCAATTTAAAAAGAAAAAAATACTTTATGTAGAAATACTATAATATTATTTTCTTAAAAGCTGCTCATAGATAGTTAATGTTTTACTGATAATCATCCAGTTAAAATTTCAGTGATAATCATCCATTCATAATCACTAATGTTAATGAACCAGCTTAAATGAAGAATAACAGAAGTGGTTAACATAAATTAGGTAAATTTATTAATTACTCTTGGATCGTTTTGAGATTAGTGGTGTATTAAGTTCTTTAAGTAGGAATTAAAACATTTTCTACGGCTCTGAGTCGCGGACTGCAACGATTAATGAACCACATTACATGTTATAATAGAATGACATAGATGATACAGATGTGCTTTTACATAAAATTCAAGTAAAAATGTTTTAAGCAGTAATAAAAATATTGACAGTACAACACTTCACAAGCACATGCACGGTCACGATTGAACAACATATACATAAACACATTTCAAATGTAGATATATGAACATACAAATATTGTAATTACGTAAAAATACATATAAAGTTATTGAATCCGACATTTATGCTGATAAGTTGATAATTAATGGGTTCGGTACAATAACAAGTTACGTCCAGTTTCAGAAATCCCAATAACTAATTCCTCTGAAAAATTGCAGAGCCAATACAATATAAATACTCAATAGATTTATATAATCCCCCTTATACTATTAACCATACAGGAAAAGACTGGTTTTATATACTTCTTCATTAACTCAACAACCCAGGGTGAGCCCCGGCCTTCTCAAAAAGTTTTTAGTTTTTTCCAGGCTAGTCTTTTACCTGCAAGTGTTCTCCAGTTTGTTGTCAGCAGTGCTAGTCGGTAAACTTTCTAGTGAGCTACAATACCAGTAGTTGCATATTGGTGTCAGATTTCTGCACTATTCCAAGTACATATGTTGCCCATAATAAAAAATGAGAGGAAATTTAAAAAATTCACGGACTTTCCTTGTTATTACACAATGTACCTCAGTTATTGGTCAAGAAATGTTCATAGAACTTTTGAACATGGCTTGTTTTATTTTGTGTCACAAATCATTTCATACACAATTAAACTTTTAAATATTTCTTAAATAAAACAAAGATTCACTCTTTTACTAAAAGCTCTTACTTTCAATATGGTATTAATTTATTACTCTTGATCAAAATTTTAAAAAGTAAAATGCTTAATTTTAAATGCTCAAACATTTCCCCCTTTTTTTGCTATCTTAGTGTAATTAGATTATTTTAATACCACATCCAATATAGTTTTACATTTTTCACCTGAGTTCTTTTAAATAAGATTTATAACGGAAAAAGTCTAACCTTTTGAATTTTCGATATTTATTTGAGATCAAAATATTTTTTTTTCTTTTTTAAAAACTTTTTGAGATATAAAGGCTTTTAAAAAAGAGTTCATGCTTCTAAACACTATTAAGAACTGTAATCGTTAAACTATTTTCAGTACGATACACAAATAATAAATGTATCTATTCGCATCATTAATATTAATAGCACCCTGAAAACATAAACATTAAATGTTATTAAAATAGATAATTACATCTCTTTTTCTAAAATCGTTTTTGATATAATTCAAAAACATACCTTTAAATAAATATATGCAAGTAAATGAATATATACATTTAAAAATTATTTCAATATGTATAAATTTATTAAATCTAATTTAATAATATATTATAATAGCGAAAGTTTAGTTAAAAGATTCTCGAAACATTAAATTCTTCACAGAAATAAATATTAACAAATAACGTCTCAGTATTAAAATTAAAAATGTTTAGAATCTAACTTTTTTTTGCTAAAAAAATCTACTTTTCCTCTATTAATTCCGTGAAAGCTCTATAAGAATAAGATAATAAATTTTTAAACAAATATGTATGAAAAATATTTAAATATTTGTACACAAGTTAAAAAAAAACAACAACAAAAAAACAGAAAACATTTTTTCAAATTAGTGAAGGATATAAATTTAAGGTGTATAAATATATCTGTGTTTCGTTATTATTTTATATTTACAAGAGTACAGAATAAATTAGATTTTAGATGCTCACTATTTAATAAATACTACTGAATTTTTATATATCGGTACTATTTAAACGATATTCTAGAATATCAACAACCCTTTAAATGTGGATATGCTATATTTAATTCTGGCATAGCTCAGAGCACCAAGACACTTTCATTATTTATACGTTTAAAAGAACTGTATCTTCACAGCTATGAAACTCCAAATCATATACATTATGCATTGAATAGATTTCAAAATATTGAAACTTTTGTTTTTAAATAAGTACATTTACTTTATGGGATCTTAGAAAAATATTTTTAAACAAAATTTCTTCTTTCTCGGTTTTCGTGCACTTCATGAGCAGGCAAATTTATATCACTCAAAATTAAATAAATACAATTATTCAATATTTCCTGAAATATTGAATACAGTTACTATTTAATTTTTAAGCAAAACATACTAATCAAAAAACATTAAACTAAAATGAAAATTCGAACGTTTTTAGTAATAAAAATTCAGCATGATTCTGCATTTCTAGATTTTTTTATAATAACAATTTATAAGATGAATTTGAACTATATCCAGAAACCGTCTTAACCCCTCGCTTCTCGCTGCCGTCAAAATGACGGGATGAGGTTTCGCCCTCTATTTTTCGCTCCCGTAGAATTTCCGGGCTGGAGTGTTCAGTAGTAATGCGCCAATAAGAATAAAGCTAATTCATTTCGTTTGACCGGAAAAAATTTTATTTCTAATTTTACACACCAGATGGCAGTACCAGGATTTTTTTAAGGTAATTATAGATAGTTAGTTTATTTTTAACTAGATGTCAGCACTAATCAAATACGTATATTTGGCAAAACAAGCACTTTTATAACTGTTTTCTTTAAAATTAACCGATTGTTAAGGGGTTAGACTAATATTTTATGTATCTTAAACATGCTTTTTTTTAAAAGTTGTATTATGTATCGCTTATTTGGCAAAATTTCATCGATTCTTTTCAAATTTTTTGCCTTAACTTACATCTTCAGTAACTTAAATTTATGCAAACGAATACAAATTAGACTGTATTATATATACATTATTTCCTAACCATAAAATGAGCTATATAAAAAAATTGCGAGTGATTGCATTTGCGAGTGATTTATCGGATATCTTTCTTGTAAGGGGAAAATCTTATTCCAACATCATCAGAAACGAAAGTAGCCAATATGGCTTCTCGTTCTCAGGCGTTGTAATTTGGTTTCTCCTTTACATAAACTTCCCTTAGAGAAAAGTATTCATCATGAGAAAAAAAGAGGGGAAGCAGGGGCAAACAAAAATATATAAAATCATTTAATATCAATTCATAATTATTCAATATTAACTCTAAACTATAGTTCAGGTAACATAAATTTTTCTTTCTGATACATACAAATACATAATGTTTCATACCCAGATTATTAAAATATAGGATAATATATTTACACATGGAAAAATCTCGAAACTTTTTAACGTTATCTGTTAAAAAATACCGATATTTATTACAATTTAACCAAATAAAAATCCCTATTACAGACTGAAAATTATCATTATAAATTTAAGCAATAATAAGTTGGAAATAATATGTAATATCGAATATGTTAGAAAACTCGTTTTAAACTTTAATTTCTAACTAGCTTAAATTTAATCACTTACTTGTTTTATTGAAAGAATTTTTGATTTTTAAAGGATTCATATTTAGCGAAACTCATATCCCCTTTTCTTTATAATTTATATATTTTTTACAAAACTATAGATAAATTGCTTTTTTCTACCTTAATTATACTTATTAATTATGAATTAGAAAATAAATAAAAATGACAGAAAATTAAGTGTTTTTCAAGGCAATCTTTGAAAATATCTGCAGTTATTATTTATTTATTTATTTTGCATTAATATAGTGTGTATGGAAACATCATTAGTTTAAATTATCCTTCGAAACTTGTTCTCTTCGATATTAATAGTTTATATTGATTAAAACCACATAAAAATTGAAAAAAAAAATTCAAAGATAAAATATATTTAAATAAGATCAGTTTCCGTTTGAAGATATGTATTTATATTTTTTATTTATATAGATACCAGACATTTGATCACTAAGCCATTAGCTTTAATCTTGCTTCCTAATATTAAAGAACAATAGAAAGATGTGTATACGAAATATTTAAAACTTATTTAACTTCTTTTTATAAGTGAAAAAAATAAGCACTGTTTCGAACAGTTATTTAAGTAAAGTATTCATGAACAATACAGGGTAAGTACTGCCGAAATAAAAATATATATCATACAGACAGGGGTTAACAGTACTATACCAAAAAGTTCACAAACACACTTTCAAAAATATTCAACACTGTCTTATACCATTTTATATTAACACTTGTGTAAAGTTTTGAAACCTAATGAAAAACAATATTTAACAAAATTGTAATAAGAACAGTCTTCCTTCACTAACCTAGAATAATGAATTAACACTCGCTGTGAAAATTCATCTTTAAAAACGTTAAAAAAAAAATATCAATGTATTGATAAGTATTTGTGCATTTAAATAAAGCAGTGTCATCAAAGTAGCATTGAAATATTCAAGGTATTCTTCATACCATACGCTTCTTTAGTATCCTCTAGAATTCCTATACAGGGGTTTAGGGGAGGAAAATAATCATACAAATAAGAAGAATTTTTATTAATGTATGATGTCTTGGTCACTTTATTTACAATAGTGGCAAATTTAAAAAGAAAAAGTAGCACTTTATTTATTGGGTGAAATCAAAAAGTGCATTAATTTCTGTGAAGTTGCAGGCTTAAATTTCAAGTTGATATCTTAAATTAGATCTTTTACTTTAATAATTTTTTCGATGCCACTGTTAAATTTTCGTATGCGAAATTATCTTTCAATAGGTGGCTACGAATCTTTCTATTGGTGGAATCCTATCTTTCCTTTTCCTATCTTTCAATAGGTGGTAATTTCGGCAAGAATTCAAAAAAATATATGCAAAGGGTGTTATTTAGAAAAGACCCCCTGCATTTTTGTTGAGCTCTTTCTAATATTTTGAAACAACTACCTCTATTTCTCACTTCATAATCACAAAATTACAACATTTATAAAAATCACGTACACTTTCTTACATTTACACTTTCCTCAAAGGGAATATAATTCACTTTAGGCAATCTTATAATAACTTAAGTCTTAATTTCCCTTTATTCAACAACTCATTGGTTAACGCTTACTCTATTCAACATAATGTTTTAAATCGCTTAAAAATTGAGATCGTTCTGCGATAACTGGGTTAAATATTCCACAGAAAGAATATTTTAAAGTAAATTTTAAATAATATTTTATCTAGTAAAAATAAAAATATAAACAATCTAAATTTTCTTGAAGCAATCCATAAGAGCCAGTAACCGGGTCCAGGGATCATGGCAATGTTTCCTGGACCAGTTACTGGCTCTACAGTTACTGGGTCGACAGTTATACAATTTTGAGACCAATAGCGTAACTTGAAGATGGCAGAGTTTCAAGATCCAATGCCCTTCATTGTATCAACTTAATGTCGAAATCACATTGCTTTCGCGATCCTTAAAATAAACTTATTTGTTAAAAATTCTTTAAAAAAATGAATAAGTAGAACAAGCTAAATAAGAGAAAGTGAAATTGTTCATTTAAAAATTGCTAGTATTTTAAAAAGAATATTTATTTTTTCAAATAGTATATTAGCATTAAAATATCAGGAGTATCTAGAATATTAAAGTCAGCCAGTTCCAAAAAGCATTATGATAAGCAACGTTCTGATTTCATTACAATAGTCATAACCGCAATAGTGGAACCGGAATAGTAAAAAAGGGAACTAATTAGGTTAAAGCACCTGATTGGTTCCTTTACGTCACGTGATTCTTAAAAGATTAGATGGATGAATGTTTAGGTGGATGAATTTCCATCCTTAACTTTTAAAACATTATGTCAGATAGAATAAACGCAAGCAGTAAATTCTTTAGGAATGAAAAACATAGAAAAAAATGGCACATGACTTCAAATCTTTACTTAGTCTGAAGAATGTTCACATTTTCCACATGAGTATGTGACTGGTGCTGTCGTCACAACCAATGACATCAGTAGTTGAACTGCTTTTGAAGTGTTCATATCCGTCTCCTCCACTAATCATGAATGCAGATGGAGTTTCCGAATTGGAGGGAAGTGCATTTCTGGGTCTGACCTCATCACAAGATCTGGCTTCGTTCATAAGTGAACTCTCAACAGATGTTTCTTTTATGTTTACTAAGAAACGAACGTGACCAACGTGTCCATGTCGCAAACCTGTGCAAAATTATGAAATGAAATTTGAATCTTTATACATACAGAGTGCAAAGAAATTACTGTTTACAAGGCACATAATGAAGAATGAGAATTACAGTGACCCTCTTGTTGAGGCATCTCTCCCTCTATGTTCCTGCGTATGTAAATTGGTAATTTTATTAATCTAAATTATCTTACTTTTATGTTTATTATTAAAAATTGCATTCTAATAGGTCCCAGAAACAACTGATATATCGTAATTTAATGAACTCGAGGAGCTAGCTAAGTTAGCCACTAAATTATTAACAATTCGCGGCCTTATTAGATTTACACATTCTCGTCCTATTGGTCGAAATTAATTTTTGTTTCGTAAGCAAAATACTAAAAATAATTAAGAATTTTTTTTTCATGGATGAAAAACGTTACTTTCTTTAAACAGAGGTTGTTAAATATTCATTATTTTGACTTTCATGTATCCCCAAAACCTAACGACAAAAGTAAACAGTAGTGTTTAATATTAGCAAAGATCAGTACAGTTCTTTGCTATAGCGGCTGGGAGCAGAAATATCACAAATACAGTTATTTCTGAACAGCAACTTCTGTATTTTTAATGTATATTTTAATGCAATTTTCAACGATAATTAATAGGGAACAATTTTTTTCTTGCATTTATACAAATATTTGGTCTTGTCTAATCCAGGTGTGGAGTTTTCAGATCTGAAATTAGTTTTCTCCTAAAGCTACAGATTTTTTTAAATGAAATTTTTAGTCTATTTTTTGTTCAAATGTACATGTTTAAAAACGATATATGTAAAAAGGGGGTCGCGTAAATGTTTCTATAAGCTTTTAGGGAAGTTAAGGCATATCATCAGAATTAAAATTTCATAAGAACCCATGACCATAAATGTGATCCTACTCGATTAGGGACGTTCTCCTATTATGAACTGCATAAGAAGAACTAGTTCATCCGAAGAAGCAGTTTATACGAATAGGCATACGAAGAAACAGTTATACAACTTTATTCTTCTGTCACGTCCTTGTCCTTGTTTCTACTGAAAAATTTTGGTTTTAGCCGAGAAAAAAAAAACTTGTTTTTACAAGCTCCTGTTTTTAATTCGTGTCGATCGACGCTTTCAAATTCGCCGATCGAAAGAACGTTACAAGTTATCGACACAAATATAGTATTTTGCTATTGCAAAATATTCACAATTCCCTATGAATACACAAAGTTGACATTTAATCATGGAATTAACTAATATTTTTGAAAACCGTTTTTTGCTATTTGGTTGATCTCCGTTGTGGGTAAAAAAGTCATCTGCGTGAAACTTATTTATTATTTTGCACATTTTCAAAATGGAACAGAATCAAACTACACACTGAGAACTTTTAACGCTAGATTACGGTATGTATGGCCACTGATCGTAAATTACCACTATGCTAAAAAAAAAAGTATCTTTAGTTCCGGCCTTAACGCTATTAGAGACTTTGGCTGTTTGCTTGTAACATCAAGGCGAATCGTTAAACGCGTGAAACGCGTAGCGTATTAGTACTGTCATTTGTCGAGGAGTGAGAAAGTCGTAATTCGTTTCCCCTAGTTACTAACATGAAGGGAGTGCGAGAAAGAGATCTTTTTTGGCACCAGCTAGGACCAAACCTGGCCCTTTTATGTTTGTAGCCTAATGTTGTAATCAACATGATAAAAGGTGATGAATTCAGTTTGGAAGTTATATCCAAACCTAGCTGATAATAACAGTAAGATATCTCGATTGATACAGTTATTTAGAGCTTTTTCCAATAGGGTTATGATTTCTGGCCAATGGCGGCTGCTCATCCTGATTTTTATTTTTAAACGAAGATTTCTTTATGTTCGGTATACTTCTTTTTCGAAGAAGAGAGCTGGCCGCTTAATCTAGTAACTTGCTGAATTTCGTTATAATTACGAATTTGGGGCTTGTTAGGGGATCTGGCCATTTAATTAAACGATCTGCTCCTCAAATTTTAAGGGACAGTTGTTAGAGTGAATATTATTACAATAGTATTTGATATGAGAATAAAAAGAGTTGTTTCTTACCATTTATGTTTGGTATTGATTCAATGTGCGTGGTCGATGGGCTAATTGATGGTATTGGCAAATTTAGAATGATTCCTGCACTGGTGCCTATCCAGAGGGTATCGCTTTCGACAGAAAGAGAAGTAACTCTTAAGCAAACTAACTTATGTTGCCTTATGATTTCATCATAAGCTGAAAAGATATTAACATAATTTATGTTACAAAATAGCACTGACAAAAATAACAATGACAAAAATAGCGTTTAGTACAATACTGAATTTTTCTGCAGCCAGTAAAAGCTACTCTTTAGGAAGAAGTAATGTATTAAATAGAATGTTTCGTCATCCCCCCTTTAACTTTTTTACTATGACACCCATAATAATTTTTTTATAATCATTATTAAGAATGAAGTCATTATAGCCTACAGGCTGGAGATCTTGAAATAACATTTAGAAGAGAAAAAGAAAATTAAATTAATTAAATCTTTATCAGATTTTGTCGAATTATTATCAAGATTTGTCACAACTTAGAGATGGAATTAGATTCTATAAAACCAATTAATTTCTTTAATGAAGCTGGAGGCGTTCCCAATTCCTGTTCTCACAATTAAAAATTATTGGAAGAAACTTTTAGTTTCACGTGATAAAAGTGATGATTTATGATTTTAAGGAATTTTAATACCATTTTTATGTAATAAAACCCAGATAATAATTCGTTAAAATTTCAATTAAGGGTTCATTACTTCTCATTTAAATGTTAATAATCTTTATGCATAGAATCTTAGATTTTTATAACTTTATTTTGAAAAAGGATTTCAGAAAGATCTTTTTAAGGACGCTGATTATAAATATTTAATTTTTGGCAAATTAATAGTTTCTGAATTAAATGTTAATAATCTTTATGCATAGAATCTTTATTTATAAATTTTTATAACTTTATTTTGAAAAAGGATTTTAGAAGGATCTTTTTAAGGACGCTGATTATAAATATTTCATTTTTGGCAAATTAATAGTTTCTGAATTAGTAAAGTTCAAGAAATATTTATTTTTAATCTTTTATTTCTCAAGAATTATTTGAGCAACTTCGCTCTAGCTTCGTATTTTATCATTTAAAATTACATAGTTTAAATCCTGCTTAAAAATTTTTCGATCAGTATTAAACAATAATTACTTATAATTAAAAATTATTTTACAGGAAGTTATTTTTAGATAAATAGTTTTATAATTGTGTGCAAAATTTTTCAATTTGTTTAAAAACTTACCGAGCTGTGGCGAAATGCTCTAAAAGTGAAATTAAAGTTAAGGGGTTTACACTTTTAATCTCTCCCCTGGCAAAACTATTGGGACCATAATTTCCACATTAGGGCTATATCCCATATTTTGATGATCAAAAAACCAAATCCGCAGAAGAAAGGTATGTTTAATCAGGAAAAATATCTCAGATGGCTGGCAACCTTACGGCAAACGTTGAATTTTCATTTTCATTTGGTTGGCATCGAAAGGTTGACTAATTAATTCTTTTTTAAATTCAATTCTGATATTAGTAAGCCAAGTTTGTTTCGTTAAAGATTGCATAAAGGTAAGCAAAAAACGTTACCATAAAAGCTCATTTTTCAGTTTTTAATGGATATTTCGTTTTTGCCCTTTTTTCATTGTAGTTGCCCAAGCTCTCAAATGCAACATTTTGTTTGGGCTGAAAACTTATCAGGTCACTTTTCAAGTATTAAGGAAAGTATATTTAAAACCAGACAAATAAACCTTGTTGCAGCGATGGTCATAAAATCTAAAACAAATTTTCAGAAGATGAATTCACTCTCAGTTTGTCAGAAGGTTTCTCTAGACTTATTTTCTAAAGGCAGATTCAATCTATATCTAAAAGGGTTGTTTATGCAAGCTTAATGCGAAGCTCATAGGGCGTAAACTAGTATAGTTAAATTTAAAATTGCTTTAAGCTGGAATATTTATTTCTATTTATAAACTTCTAGTTGAGCCTTGGTGGTTCAGGGGATAGAGCACCCTCCTCTCAATGAGGTAACCCCGGTTCAAATCCCCGCGATGGCTGGTTGACATAAGTCCATCGCTGTGTTCAGACTTTTTTTCGTTAACAAAAAGATCTTAAAAAATCCTTTGTCCATCATGATTCTTTCTAATGTTACTTTAAAGCTTACACATTACTCTAAATCTTAGGTACCCAACCTAGGCGCTACCCAGGGCCGCCTCGAAAGGTGGAGTTGACAGTTGAAGAGGGGATCTCGGTACTCATTTCAGTTCTGACGTCACGCATCGCGATCCATGTTTCAGCTAGTCTTGTGTTAGTTATATGCTGTGTTAATTCTAGAGTGTGATAAATCATAAATAAATTCCTCAAAAGTCACTTTACTTCATGACCTGGGAGATATAGATTTTACATCCTTGTTAATAAATAATTTCCATTCATACATTCTTTATCAATTTCTAATATTGATTTGTAAAAATTGTTACATATTAAAACGATATTAGCTTTGTAAATTGGTTTTATCTTTGATGATGAGGATAAAGAATTTTGGTTTTAGAATTTAAAATTTCTTAATAAAAATACTTATTAATTTCGTCTTTAAAATGTGTTTTATTTTACGAGGGGTAATGAAAAGCAAATTATATTTCGTCCATTTAAAGCGTAGCAACTAACGCAACATTTACATTATGTTTAATTAGAATAAATTAAATTCTAGTACATTTAATACTGAACTACATTATGTATATTCCGTGTAATTAAAAACCTTCTATAAATTAACAATAACTAACTAAATAACCGCATGATTCATGCAGATTTTTTCAAAAATGTTAAACAATTAAAAAAGAGGAAATGAAAAAAAAAAATTTTCCCTCGGGGGAATTTTTCGGGTAGATTCCTCGGGGTAGAAATTTTTAAGTGGGCGTAGAGGAACTCTCTCGCTAAGTAAGCAATGAATAAAAAAAGTGGAAAACTATGCTCTAAGTAATTAATTAACTAACTGCAGTAATATTGTCTTATTTAAAATATGCGTAACACTTAGAAAGTAATTAAAATACAATATATTCGCAAGTTTTAATAACATAGATATTCTTAAATTTTAATATTTAAACTGCGTTATGCTTTTTTATTTTAGTTATTTTTATTACTTCTTTTTAAATTTTAAAAGAAAATGAATGATATCAATTAAATTTTGTAATAAAATTGTTTTTTTTTATGCTATTTATTTATGCTATACAAAATACATTCATTTTGAACAAATACTATATTTATTTATTTTTTTCTTTTCTATTTATTTGCTTTTTTTTTTATTTCTCTCCGCTTTACAAAGACCCTACTTTTGTGCGTAATTGAGTAAGGAATCTCATTTAATGGCTGTGCAATTTTTCTTTTATTATCGACTAATGGAGAAAATTTTTTTTTCTTTCTAAAAGTAAAAGAAAAATTGCCCCTTCCCTAAACATCGCTTTCTTCCTAAAAACTAGAGATCAAATTATTTCCTTTAAAGATTCTTGAGTGCAGTTGAATTAATGGAATCAATTGAATTTCTGGATCAAATCGATTGGTTTCTTGGGGTAGCAATTACGTTTCGTAAAGATTCGTTTAAAAACAGATTTATTGTAATTATTTCTTTTTTCAATATTAATTTTTTGATGAGAACTAGAAATAAAAAAAAGAGATTATAAAAGTTTTGATTTATTCATTTTATTTATCATTTTTATATCATTTAAAGGCGCTGAACAACTGACTCAATTCTGAGTTTGCGACCATCAATGCTTTTCGCAGCCATGTAAATTTTTAACCAAACTTAGAAGACAAGGAAACTTCTGGATCAAACATTAGAGCAAACTAGCCCTCGGGGAGGACTTCTTGACATAAATAACCCACATTTGCGTTACAAGGAGAGCAAAACCACGAATATCCCCATTGTTACCCATCATACGTCTACCACTGAGGATATTTCACGTCAGCATTGAACTCAGTGCGAACAAGGAGTAGATTTCGTATAAACCAGCCACCTCTGGGGTTCGAACCTGTTTTCGTATTTATTTTATAACCGTCGTTGAATAGCGGAACCAATTTTGAGTTTACGACGACTGCCAATGTTCAACTACGTAGCCTTGTTATTTTGAACACAACCCAGAAGAGAAGGGAATTCCTGGATCAAGCGTTAGGAGAAATTAGCCTTCGCGGTGGACTTTTTGATGGAACTAACCCGCATTTGCGTTACAAGGAGAAGAAAACCACCAAAATATTCGTAATTTTGGGTTTAATTTAAGTCAATGGAATTTTAAGCGAATTAAAAGTTATAAATAACAGAGAGGTTATTTATTTTTGCTTATAACTTTTCAGCCTTTCTTTTAAACAAAACATTTAAGATTGTAGATACAGAAAGTAACAGGTACTTGCAACAGACAAACAGCTGTATCGGTATCATTTGGTAATTGATACCAAAAATTTGATACTTACCCATCTCTACTGTACATGCTGATGTCTCCAAATTTCAGGGCACTATCATAAAAATTAACACCTAAACTTACGACTAACAAAGGAATAGCAAAGCATTTGGGTCATTTAAAATAATAATCCGAATAAATATTCGAATTACTACTTATGAAAATTCTAGCTGCAATTGAAATGTTTTTTTCTTCTTTTTTTTGTCCATAAAACTTAAAACAGCAGTGCACTGTTTGATTTGAAACATAAAATAAAATAAAAAATTAAACGTTAACTTGAATCAGCATTATGTTTCCCTTTATTACCTATGTTCATAAGAGCTTAAATAAAAAAAAATAAGTTACATGAAACTGTTCTCTAGTCAAATTTATCACTAAATTACTAAAATTGTTAATCACTAAAAACTGTTAATCACTAAAATTGATTTCTTTTTAAACTATAGAGGGAAATAAAGTTAAATAAATAGTAGGTAACATAACGGTAAAAGAGTAACAGAGTAAAAAAAAAAAAAAGTAACCGAGAGGAAAGCTTATAGTAGAGCTAATTTTTAAGTAATCACGCATTGCAAATTACTGAATTTTAATGATACACTTACTCCTTTAATAATACCCTTTAATAATACACCTAATTGATATCTACCTCAATTTTTTTAATAAACTTAGTATTTAATTAAGTAATGCATTAAAAGTTAATAAAGTTACCATTACCATGGCAACTGAGAGGAAGAGTAACAGAGGGAAGAAAAGAAACTGTAAGTAAATTTACTTGGACAGGGTCAATTGAAAAGAACAATGTTTATATAGAACTGAAAAACAGGATTTGATCATATCATAAAAAAAAAATCTAATGAACATTAAAATAACGAATTAAAAACTATCATTCTAGTAACAGAGACAAATTTAATAAACATCCTTACCTAGTCAAAGCTTTATTTTCATAGAATACAGCAAATATATAGACAATTTTAAAATGGCTACCTGATCGAAATATAGCCCATTCAATAAGCCAGGGAACGCATTTTTTCGAGCTCAACGGAAATAATTTAGTACAATAATTATGGCAACAGAGTCCTTGGAGAACAAATACTATTGATCTATTAAATCTCTTGTTGGGGAAAAACGAAATTACTTTTCGAACAACCCAATAAATAAAAGAAAAATGATATCCTTCCAGTAACAGACTTAGACCAGGGAAAAAATAAATTTTTCTTAAATTTTAAGTAGATATTGCAACTTATTTCGATAAATCAAATTCAATTACTATGTATTATGTATATTTATTAAAATTTTTTTATTATGCTGATCACTTGCGCAATATAATATAGTGAAATTTTTATTCAATAATTATTTTCATAGAAATTGAAAAAAAAAAAGTTAATGCCTTATTTTAATAATTTTTTTTCCCAATGGCAGGCACTGAATTTGATTCCTTTGCCTATACTATGCCAGAATTGTTGCTCATTTGGCGTTACCCAGTGGGGCACCTGTGAACCAAAGTCACGGAGGCGAGCAACATTGCCCACGCCACACTGCCACNTGTTGACCCGCCTCTAGCCTGGATGCAAGCTGCCACACGGCGTGGCATAGACCGATAAAGCTCAAGGATGGTCTCTTGTGGTATTTCCTGCCAAATTCGATCCAATTGTCGAACGAGGTCATTAACATTCCGTGCCAGATGCAATCGCCTTTCCATCATATCCCAGACATGCTCGATGGGAGAGAGATCTGGTGATCTGGCAGGCCAAGGAAGAGTTTGACAATTTTTCAGACAGTTCATAGCAACACGTGCCGTATGTGGTCTGGCATTGTCTTGCTGAAAAACCAGCCCAGGGCGCTGCAAAAGGAACGGTAGCAAAACAGGTCTTAGGATGTCGTCGACGTACCGCTGTGCAGTAAGTGTACCTCGAATGACAATCAAAGGTGTCCGGCTGTCAAAGGAAATGGCACCCTAGACCATAATGCCTTGTTGAGGGCCGGTGTGGCGTGCAATAGTGAAGGCAGGATCCCCCCTCTGCCCTGTGCGTCTCCAAACACGTCTTCGATGATCGTCAGGATGCAGTTGGAAGCGGGATTCGTCGCTAAAGACTATACGTCCCCAGTCGGCATCATTCCAGCCATATCTGTTCAAAACATTCATGCATACGAAATTTTACGGATGATTGCTTCTTGGTGCGTCGATTTTTTTTTGTTATAGAGTGTATTTTCATGTAAATTGAAATAATAATAAAAAAAAAAGATAGTGCCTTATTTTAATATATTTCAAAGTCAGTTACTCGATTGAAGAACAGAAAGAAACATAATACAAATCTGATTATCACGTGAATAATAATAACAGAAGAAGTATTAAAAGAATAGTGAAATATTATTATTTACCATTTAGCATTTTAGTAACAGCTGATGTAATATTTATCTCCATTAAATGATGATAAGTGGTAATGTGATATAGATGAATGATGGGGCTGCTCTGAACGGCTACCCATACACCATAGCCTGAACGCGCAATAGCTGTCACGTGACGCATCAATTCTGGTCCAACAGGGAATGTGATCTGCAATAAGAGGTTTTTTCTTAAATTGTGTATAAAAAGTCTCCCTTATTTATTAATAGCCACCTTCGGCGACCACCTTTTTAAATAAGCACAGTTTCAAGTATTTCAAGATTTATAATCAATCAATCAAAAATCAGGACAATACAAGTTTAAATTCGTACTGTTTAAGCATGAATTAAAAATTTGCTCTTACATGTTTCAAAGTTGACGAAAATGGATATTGTGGTTAATTTGTTATTAAAATGTTCAGTACAACCCATGCTGACATTTTAAAGAAAAAAAATATGCACATATATGATGTTTTTAACCCCTTCCTTCTCGCTCCCGTGAAAATGACGGGGTGAGGTTTCGCCCTCTATTTCTCGCTCCCGTAATATCCCCGAGTGTTCAGTAGTAACGTGCCAGTAAGAATAAAACTAATTCATTGCCCGGAAAACATTTTATTTCTCATTTTTCACACCAGATGGCAGCACCAGGATATTTTTAAGGTAATTGTAGATAGTTAGTTTATTTTAAACTAGATGTCAGCACACTAATCAAATGCGTGTATAATATACGTGTATAAAAATAGGTACTTTTAAGACCGTTTTTTTGAAAATTAACCGATCGTTAAGGGGTTAATGCATAATAATAGTAAATAGCAGCTTTCTTATCGTTGTTTTAGCAATTAAAACATTCTATTGCGAGTCAAAGAATTTTATTTGTAAGGATGTTTTTCTTTTTCTCGAAAAAGCAAAACGAACTGAAATTGTTATGAATTTCGTTAAGCTAAAGGAGCACACAGATCTGCAACAGTAAAAAACTTATTTCAAAGCGAAAAAAAAAAAAAAACGATTTAGCTTAAGTGCCATTATTTTCAAAATCAGACAAAAATCTGTCATTTTGATAGTTAGATTGACTTGATTTTTTTATATTAAAGAAAGTCATAAAAAATGAATACTGGGGAAGATTGATCCAATAAAAAATGTTCCCTCCCCTGTAGAAAGTTTGAGGTCATTCAGGTCATTTTCTCAAGAGTGAAATATAAGTATGTTTTAAGGGGTTTATCTAAAGAAAGCAGCAACATCCTAAAGTTTTGTTTTGCTGTATTATTAGTATATCACTGCCTAGTTACGGGAGTGCACTTGTTTCTATGAAGCATTTCAGAGTTATGCTCCGTCAAAGTTTGAAAAATTCAGTTTTCAGCATTTTCTGCCCTGAAAATCATGGCTGAACACCAGCAACCCAATAATTTCCTTATTGAATATCAAAGTTCATTATTAGGACAAGTTATGAAACCCAGCACTTTTCTGGAATATTGATGCTTTTTTCAGATATTCAACTTTCAAACTTTTAAAATATTCAAAATCACCACAGTTGAGCCCAATATCTTTTTTTACACCATGTGTTCGCATTTATACATAAATAAACTTATAACTAACGCTAATAAGCTTAAGGATGTTCTTCAAAGATAATTCGTCAAAGGATTTTTTTTTTTTTAAAAAAAGGCTACAGTTTGTGTCCTTTAAACTTTAACAAAAGCTTTAATTTCAAACTATAATTCTATCTGGATGAAAAGAATTGTCTGAACATTGAAAGCGAAAAAATAACTCAAATTTTATAAAATATGTATATATATAAATTTTTCGTCAAACGTGGGAAATTTGGGAAATTTTTTTGCCTCTCAGATAAAAATCAATGTTTGAAATCAAAATTTTGTAAGTTTAAAAAATGCAGTGACGGTGTCATTTTTCCAATATTAAAAAAAAAAAAAATATCACAAACCGATTTTCCCTGTCGCAAAATTATGTCTAGGGGAGATTGAGGTCAATTGTAATAAGGTACGATTGTAACAGAGCAAAAATTTCGAGTGTCAGGTTCTAGATTTGGTTCCTAGGTGGCGCACAAGGTGTATTTAATAAATCTACATGTACATCCCTGCTGGCAATCATTTTTATGTACTTTTGAAAGAGTTACATAACTAAAGATATTTTTACGCTACGTAAGTACTTTTTTTGGTATTAGAATATTATATTGTAACAAAGTAGTTTTGCTTAAACAAATAAAGATTATTAACCGAATATGTAAGTGAACACCTTAATTAACATTTCAAAAAAAAGATTAGCTTTGTTAATTAACTAGCATTGTTTTTAACAAATGAAGCTGAAATGGCGTCTTGGGGACGATTATAACAATAAGTAAAGGTACAAATATAACAGCTGAAAATAAATAATCTTATGTTTACAAACCATTACTTAACTCTTTCAGAACCACCAATAGTTACCTATATCATTTATATTATGTTGCATGTGCATTAATTTATTAGTCACCTTTCACAGCATAAATTAAAATTTTTAACCCCTTAAAGTTAAAAGTTTAACCCTTTAGGTCTCTGCTCATTATTATTTTCACTCCTAAAATATCACGGCTATTTTGATCAATAAAAAAATATATCACAACTATGATAATGTGTATAATTAACTATGTTTTAGTTGAATTTATGAACTGTTACAATTGACCCCGTAAGTGGGGACAATTGTAACAAGTGCACGACTGTCAAAAATTGTTAATAACTAATATAATAACATTTAAAATAAGGTATTTTTTTCTAGTAGAGGATAGTCTACTTTACTCGTCTGTCAATTAATACTAATAATATATTGGATTTTTTGTTAGTTAAAAATAGCTAAGTAAAAAATGTTACAATTGACCCCACTCTCCCCTACTCATTTTGTAGACAATATGCATCATTTTCCTAATTTGTATAAAAAAACAATGGCTAGCGACAGACAAAACTTAACAGTCTTGAGTAAATGTTACAAACTCATTTGCAGTTATAAAAAAATGGTCGAAAAATTCCATGTGACGACAGTGCCTTTGAGGAACTGCTTAAAATTTTATGACGGAAATCATGTTATATTGACCAAGTACCTCTACTTCAAGGGAAGAAGTCCCGATGACGGCAATTGAATTTAGAGTTGCGCACCACAACTTTTCTTCAACGAGAATCATTTTCGATATAGGCGATACATTGGTTGCTGCTTCCATTCTGTGAGGATTAAAAGTATTCCATGTTCCACCTATGAAAAAAAAAGTGTGTGAATAATTACACACCAATAAAGTACAATTCATTCGTTTTTTTTCTTTCCCAAGTATGGCATTTGAAGGAAAATTATGAGTAACTTTTACTAATGTAATAAAAAGAAAAATATTTCAGCAATAGCAAGAAACAAAGTCTTTGGAATTCTGTTAAATAACTAAGACAAAGTATCCCTTGCCTGGCCATATTACTTTGTCTTAAAACTGGCTTTGCACCCGATTCAGAATTTACGATTATCAATGTTCTCTGTAGCCTTGTAATTATCAACCCAACTCAGAAGACAAGAGAGCTCCTGGGTCAAACATTACGGAAAACTAGCCTCCGGGGAGGACTTTTTGATGGAACTAACCTGCATTGGCGTTACATGAAGAGGAGAAACACGAAATCCTCCCTCGGTTAATCCGATGGCAAGAGAATTCTAACCCATGATCCGTTTAACCATGATCTAGGATGTTTTACGTCAGTTCCATGGTCGGTGTGAACCGGGAGTAGAATTCGTCTCAACCAGCTACCTCTGGTATTCAAACATTGGGAGGGGGAACGTTCTGTCGCCTGAGCCACAGCTGATCCCAGCCTCGTTATCGAATGTAAACGAAAGATTTCAGTTTAATTAATTTGTTTGCAATTAGATAATAGGGCCAGGATAGCCTGATCTGTAGGGAGCTGGACTCATGTCCAAGAGTTCGTGGGTTCGATCCCCACCGGTCGAAGACTCTCAGTGTAGTAAATGGTGACTGATGCACTTTAAATCTGCCGAGTCACAAAGTCCTCCATGTTCCCATAACAAATCAATACCTTTGGTGGTATTGATCTAGGAGTTTCATTTACTTCTGGATTGGTTCAAAATTACAAGGCTACGGAGTTGAACATTAGTAGTCGTAAACCCAAAAATTGGGTTAGCTGTTCAACGACGGATGTAAAATAAAATAAAATTAGACAATTTAGTTTTACAATTTCAGAGTAATAATATATGACGCATGCCCGGAAAGTAAGTACCATTTTGCAAAAACTCGCAAAAAATATTTCTCAAAACAAAATTTATTTTAACATAAGAGAGTATTTTAGAAATTATTTTTCTACATAGTTACTAACATCTGACATTTGCAATAGTAGGAAACATACTTGTCAATACTCTCTTCAAGAAGCGAAGCGCCAGCGAAGACAGCTATTGCTGAATACCGTTTTCTGAGTAGTCATCGATATAAGACAATCTCATACAAAACAGTTTTTCAAATTTGGAAGCTTGTCACAAATAATTCGATTGTAAAACCGTCGGCTCCCGTGAATTTCCTCATTCCCTTTTGAAACCGGACCATCAATGACAGCAGAACGCTCTTCACACCGTACTTCGTCATGAACATTGGTGTGTCATGAATATGAATTGTCGAACCCACTTTCTCACAATTTCATCACTTATTACATCTCTACAAGTTGACGATAAATTTCAAAAAGCTTAAAATTTTTTGCGTTCAAAAATCGTGTTACGGAACGTATTTCGCTGTCGGCGTGATCGGCAATCGTCTTAAGAGTCATTACCTATTTTTTTTTTACAAAAAAAAAAAAAAAAAAAAAAAAAAAAAAAAAAAAAAAAAAAAAAAAAAAAAAAAA